CCAGAAGAAATAGTAATAGCGCTGTTGTATCAATATAAATATGATTTAAATCAAATTGAATTTTTAAGAATAGTTGTAATCCATAATAATTATAGTCGCTTATTCTTAAGGTTTTATTCACTTTAGAACTTTAAGATTCAAAATATTTTATGTTAAAGAGAATGTTGACCCAAAGAAATAAAATATTAAAGAATTTAAAAGCTACTCTATGAATATTAAGAACAATTGATTATTAAATTTTGGATTGTTTGAGATAATGATTAAGAATCTCAAACAAATATAAATATTTAAATCCTCCAGTTTCAATTTAATTCTATAATATACTATCAGAGAATAATATAAATGTAGTTTATTCTATTATACTAATTGTGTTATAAATATTCCTTTTTAAAATGGTAACAAACGTTTTATGATAGAGCTCATAGTTTATTAAATAATAAATTCAATAATATTCATTAAAATTATTAGCTCATTAAATATAGCAAAATATTTTGCTGCTTAACAGGAGGAATTTGTATCAATAACAAATGAATCATAAATAATTGGATTTTCAGTGTGCTGTAATTAAACTTTTAATTTCTTATTTTTCTCTAGAGCATCTAAAATTAATACTCTAAGTTTATTGTCATTCATCTCCTTAACTGACACTGACCTATCCCCTAAATATTTGATAATGATCAAAGCATCATGGATTCCAGTTTTTTAATGCACATTTTGCTCTTTTTGGTATTTTGCAGTGCTTAGTTTTGTTACAAATTCACCTAACTATGAATTACTTTCCTCCTACAAATCCTTTGATTATTACATTGCAAGTTCAATAATAGCTATTTGAGTTCTTTTTCTAGATCGAAGAGATTGGTTTGGTCTAGAATTTAAATATATTGGTCAATCTATGAAGCCTAACCTAAATTTTATTTTTCTTTTCAGATTATATCAATTATCTAAGGCTTAATATACAAGGTCAAATGCTTCTCCATCTATTTCAATCTTTGGTTTAAGAGTTAAAATTTAATCATTTATTCCTTCTAATATTTTTCATTAATTTTCAATTAGATGATCCTTATTTATTTGTGATAATTCTTATTAATTCTCTAGGATTACTTATAGAGTGCAATACAAAGATTAAAACAAAGCATTGTAATAATATAATTAATGATTATTTTCAACTTTGTGAAGTAAAGAGAGTCTTCTTCAATAAATTAGTCATCCATTCGCTTCAATTTAGCTTCTTTCTCTAATTGAACAGTAGGGTTTTATTACACTGTCATTTGAAGTGATTAAGCCACCTATTTATTAAGCTAATCATATCTTCTTTAGTCGATAATAATTAAAAAAGCTCTTGTTACTTTTTTTCCAGCTTTGAAAATTCTGTTTATGGTTTCAATTATTTTTTTATTTATCTTTCTAAACAACCAAATTATCTTTTAATATCATTTATTGAGAATTAATCATAATTCGATTGGCTTAGTGGCTTTTAAAGTTCTATTCTTAACTAAACTGCGCAGTCTTAAATTTCTTGGAGTAATTTGAATTTTTCTTGAATTATGAAGACATGCCATTCTTATAAATTCAACTGTTTGATTTGCTGAGGTTTATGTCCATCAATAGATTAAGTACTCGGTAATATTAATCAAACGATATAGTATAATTTTACCTTTTATAATATAGATCACCTAAATTGGCAAGAGCAAATAGATTATTAGAATCCAACTCAAGCGCCTTATTGTAATCTTAATATGCTTTATCGTTTACATTAAGTTCTTTTAAAAGAGCACCTTTCACACTTAATAGCTTAATTACCTCTTTTAGTATAAAAATTGGAATTATTAGGATCCAATGCAATACTAGTATTATAATCTATTAGGGTCTGATCGTTATTTCCAATTTCACTCTATAGAACTCCTAGTCACTAGAATATTCTAATAACCTCTTTAATAATAAGGCAACTGGTTTTTAGGATTCAATTCAATTGCCTCGTCATAGTCTTAGAGTGCTTAATTCTTATCCACCACTTTCTAATATATAAGTCCTTCCATATAGTAGTTGATAACCTCTATATGAAAATGTTGATTCATCTTCAGGATCCAATTCAATAGCCTTATTAAAATCTAATACTGCTTAAGTTGTATTTTTCTTTATAAAGTGAAGGGCTCCTATTCAATATAATGTACTGATAACCTCCGTTATAATAAGCCTAAACATCATTAGGATCTAAATCAATAGCCTAATTATAATCTGAGAGAGATAACTATTTATTTCCTATTTTATTATATAAAATCCCTATATATATATATCATTATAAATAAAGTAGATCGATGAAAATAAAAAGCAGCCTTATTTAGATTCAACTAAATCGCTTTGTTATAATCAATTAGTGGCTTGTCTTGTTCATCAATTTCTTTGAAGATCATTCCTATTAAGTATAGAATAAACAGCTACCTCTGTTACAATAACTTTAAGGATCCTCAGGATCCAATTCAATAGCTCTTCTATTATCATCTAGTGCGAGGTTCTTATTTCCCATTTGCTAATAAAAAAATCCTACTCAACACAAAGTTTAATTACCTCTGTTATAAAAAAACGATGCATTATTGGAAGGCTGATGAGAAACTAGTTCAACAACTTTGTTAAAATCTATGAGGGCCTTATCCCAATTCCCCAAATAAAATTCCTATTACATATAAAATGATATTGATACCTCTTTAAATATATGCCTGTATATTCTTTGGATCCAAATCTATGACCTTGGTATAATCTAAAAGAGCCTAATATTTGTTTCCCATCTCATCATTAGAATTCCTATTTAATCAAATAGGAATTCTAATGATGAGAATAATAAGCCAAGTAACATTGATTATTTATTTCAATCGCTTTATCATAGTATCTCAATTCATCATTATAATTACCCAATCCCCCTATTGCTATACCTAGGAAGTTATAAAAAGTTATCACCTATTCTCTAGAATATCGAACCATATTAAGGAGTGAGTTGAATAGAATACAAATAATTTTATAATGTTTCAACCAATAAATCTTTTTGAGTGATCCCTTTTGCTAAAATTATTTTAAATAGTTACTACTTTTTTAATCAAAGCTGGCGTTCCTCAATACTCCTAAGCTTCTAACTTTTATTGCATCTTCAACTGTCCAATCATCCATACTTTTTCCTAGGTGTAATTCTCCTATTATTTGAAATATTTTAAGAAACCTTTTCGAAATGAATGCTTATGAAAATAAAGGATTAAGCTTTAATGCTTCATTTATTAAGTCTAAGCCTTCATCAATTTCATAATTTTTAAGATTTTACTTTAAACTATATATTTGATTTTACTAGACCAGATATATAGATTTATTCTGTTTGTTGTTAGATTAAGCTAGATTGAATGTTAACTTCAAATTATTCAATTCCATGTTAAGCCATTTTAAATTAAAAAATTAAATTAAAATGGATTACTATTCATTTCTTTTTAATTGTTTAATTAATCTAAAGTAGATCATTTTTTTTTTATGTAAAGTAAGATTTGAATGATTTCTTGTATCAATGTTTAATTTGCTTACAAAATCATCAATTAAAATTACTATTTATAATAACTTCTTATTTTTATCCTAAATAGAGTAAAGCCATTCCAAAGGTTAGCACGCTGCAATTGCCGATTAAGCATTTAAGAATTAGGGATTCTCAATTTCTAAAGTCTCTTGTTATATCTCTACTTATAATAAACTCTGTAAGACCAAATTTAATGTTATTGTGTAGTTATGTTATACAGAAACTGTTGTT